GAGCAGATCAACTACCTATCTTATCATCACTATCAGTTCGTTTTCATCCGGATTTGCATGCAATATATTGTAATAAAATTGGATGTGAAACATATACATATGAATAGTTCACGGATTGAATAATACGATAGAGGCCACGAGAAAATAAGAAAAATATTTAGTACAAATAAATTAAAGGAGGAAAAATAATGTTAAGAATATACGAACCATCCAATAAATAGTTTACTGGTTGATTTCTTTTAATTTGTCTTCCTTGTTGTGAATTTACAAAGAGACAACTGCTATTAATAGAAACTTTGGGTGCATAAAAAAGAGATACATAGAGAGAGAGAGATTTGATAACTAATCGTCAAATTGAGATAGGAAGGTGTTGGAAATAATGTAAGGATTTGATAAGGGATAATTTGGTAATTGTAAAATTTTATTTTAATTTTTGGTCTTTCAAATTAATTACAATTTTTAAAATCCCTCTTAATAAATACTAATTTTTTTAGGTCCTTCTGCCTAACTTTCCTTAATAAATAAATACTGTATTTTCTAAAATATCCTTGCTAATAAACTATATTAGCTAGAACGACCATTATTAGAAGGACAATTTTAGAAAAAAATACATAAATATAAGAGATAATGTAGATTAGGGTTTTATATTTAGTATCAACATAAAAATTAAATGAGATCTTATATTAAGTACCGGAGGTAGTAATAACTTAAACAGCAACAACCACTCTCTTAAAATTCAACTTCTAGAATTTTTAAGTGGTAGTGGATCAATAACTACTTAAGAAAAAAACAACTTTAGTTATACGAAATGACGACAACAACTTAAGCGGTGGAAAATGTTGTATTGAAATTTAGTTTCTGGGTTTTTAAATGTTGGCGGATCAATTACTCCTGCACTTTTAAGTGAGGTAGTCATTAATCCACCAGCGCTTAAAATCATAGACGTTGAACTTCAAGAAAATAGCTGTCACTCCTTAAATTGTTGTTCTTTATGTCAGCAAAGTTATTATTACCTTCAGTGATAAATATAATAGTTAGTTGATTAATTTAAAAAAATTAAAAAAATAAATTAAGTTAGTTATTTGTAATAAATAGGTGTTGTTTTTTTTAATTATCCTTGCTAATTTAGTGTACCACTCTCTTGTTTATTATAGGTCACTTGTACCTCAAAAGTTTATTTCAAAACATAAATCACTTGTAGTATAATTAATGATATTTTTCTAATTTTACCCTATTAATTTAATAAAAAATTAATTAATTTAAGTCTAAATAATAACTCCTCGAAACACGTTCCTCTCCTTTTAACTCTCCATCTCTCTCTCAACTTTTCATTTCCTGTACAATCCGTCCCCTTCCTCCTCCTTTTTCTCTCAACTTTTAATAAGGGTAAATGTGGAAAAAACTTGTTAATTTAATATACTTCTTGGTTTGCGGGTTTGGGATACCAGTGACTTATAATGAGGAACACAGTGATACTGGTTAGAACTATTATTATTAGAAAGGCTATATTAGAAAAAAAATATAAATATGAGAGACAAAATAGATTGAGATATTATATCTAGGATCAAAATAAAATTTAAATGAATTTTATATTAAAGACTGGTGGTAGTTTTTTTTTTAAAGGTAAAATAGTCATTTATCCACCAATACTTAAAAAACTAGAAGCTAAATCTCTAGAGAATGGTTGCGCTGCTTAATTCACCTTCCTCTCTTTTCAGGTAAAAAAAAAAAAAATTTCCTTTCTATCTCTCTCTCATTGCATCCCATTTGTTCATTCAATGATTGTAGAGTATCCAACCTGGAATTACATGCAAGTTGTAAGGAGTGTTTGGGATGAAGTAAAACCGTAGTTTTAAAGATATTTTTACTGTATACGAAATAAATATATAAAAAAATTTATTTTTATTTTCAGAAAAATACTCTTCAGAGATATTTTTGGGTTACCCGAAACACTCCCGCATTAGTATTCTTTTTCTGATCACTTGCAAATGATAGGTTACTGCTTAAAAATCTGGGCTAGAGACGAAAATGCCTCTGCAAGTTCGGTCTCTGCTGTACTGTATTGCATAACTATTGCCATTAATAAAAATGGAATAGCATGTTTTGCGCAGCACTGTAATTGTAGAACTTGACGTATGTAAAAAACTTAATCTAAGTATTATCTTGTAAATCATTTGATACATATGGGTTTTTTTTTATTTAAATACAATTTGTCTTTTAAAATTAGGGTGGTACTACCTCTGATCCTTAATATAATACCTAATTAATTAATTTGAAAAGATTAAAAAATTAGTTAAATTAGTTATTTTTAATAAACTGGTATCATTTTTCTTAAAATATTTTTACTAATAATGTGTATTAGCTAAAATCATCATTTGATGAAACATTTAACATTCACAACTATTATAAGAATTATATTGAAAATAAATAAATATAAAAAAATTGAAATATTATATTTAGGATTAAATTAAAACTCAAATTAATTTTTATATTAAAAAAAGAAGATAGTATAATATAATCCCAAAAAACAAAAATCGTTGAAATGATCATGATGATACGCGGTGGAGTTGATCAGAGGAACAGGCTGTGCCAGCATGCTTTCCCAATTATTATTTTTTTCTTCCAGGTTTTCTTGGTAATATTATCTGGATAAATGATTGATAATTTATAAGATAATAAGCCTCATAATTGGTGAGTTATGGATAATGACATAATGTATTGGGGTACAAGCCCAGTGAACAAAAATATAATTAAATTATTAAATTAGAAAAGATTATATTATATTTTTATATACATTACATGAGTAGTTTATAATTAGAGAAAATCACACCAAAAACTGTAAAATTTAAAAAATTACAAACAAGAACCCGTAATAATATTATTATGAGTTTTGCTAATAATAATATTAGTTTTGGTAACAATTTTTATAAATAGATCCTTATCTGCAATTTTTAAAATTTTATGGTCTTTTTTTGTGATTTTCTCTTATAAATTAGTAATTAACTGAACCTACTCTTGGACAGGTTGCCAGCGCAGCCTTTGTTTCCTGTAAAGTGGGATGCCAACCAAAACCAAGTCTTGGCTTTACCATTTCTAAATTGGAGGCTCAATCCTTTTCCATTATTCTGACGCTTTCCCCTTTAATTAAGGTGACACATATCCTCAATTAATAATTTATTTTAGCTGTTCTCAGAATCCAGTATACTTTTTTTCCGGCTCAGAATCCTGTGTCTGTATATATCTTAATGTGAAAAACTAAACAATTGGAATGAAAATTTCATACCTCTCGTATTCTTAATATAAGTTTGATTTAACTAATTGATTAGATTAAAAAAATTAGATAAGTTAATTAATTATAAAAAATATGATACGTTTTTTCTAAAATATTATAATTATTTTTCTTAATACCCTCTCTTTCTCTTCTATTTGACTATGGTTGAGGGAGTATCTATAAAGGTAATTTAGAAAAAATTGATAAACATAATAAATGGGTCTTATTTAGGATCAAAACTAACTCAATAATTATTAAGGGCCGGAAGAGTATATACACACATACATATATTGCGTGTGCGTTGTGAAGTTGTGAATTCCATCTCATCTATGATTTCAAACTTTTACCGTATGCCTCCTTAATTTTAGAAAAAACCTAAGCATGTATGTGTATAATTTATGAGAAATTATAAGTATAAAAAAAATAACGGGGAGAGGAGGTGGTTATGATTCACGTATGTCAACTTTTAGTGTGATTCTTGTGTTTTGAAAAAATTACAATTTTGTTTGAACTGAAAATACTTATGAATTTATAATTGAATACTTATAATTTAGAAATGGATACATATGTAATTTTACTGCTGATTTTATTCTTAGGTACATCTAACATTTCAACATTTTAGTGCTGTATTTTAAAAATAAGATCACAGGTAAAATTTCACAAAAAAAATATAACTAAAATTGTGCCATTGAAAAAATTGAGATATTAGGCTTACTTGAGAAATAAAATGAAGGTAAAACCGCACGTTTACCGTTTATAAATTTATAAACTTTCATACAACCTAAGGTACATAGTTAAATACAAACATAATGAAAAGAATATAAATTTGAACCTAAAAAAAAAAAAGTATTTGTTGAGAAAGTTTTAACCTTAACGCACTCTGCTCAACAGAGTTTAGTTTCAAACCCAAAATGACTCAAAGATACTCTAAGTTATAAAGAAAAATACAAAAGATGAAAAAAGTTGTTAATTTATATGAATAATTATTAGGATACACTTATAATAAGAATTGAATTAAAAACTACTTAAATTGAAAATGTTTATTGTAAACTTTGGAATTTTCAAATTTCAAACTAAAATAACTAAATTCGAGATTTAAAAAATACATTTACTTAATATTAAATTAAAAATAAAAATAAAAGGTTTTGGAAAAAAATATTACTTGATTAATTATTTAACGTGATTAAAATTAAATATATAAGTGCTGGCAAAATAATAATTTTTTATATTATTTTCACCATTTTTTAGCAACGGCTAGTAGAAGAATCTAGACCCTTTGAAGGACGACGTGGTCCCCGCAGTGTCACGCGGTTGTTCGGTACCGTTTTCGCCGTAGAAGTCTTCAAAAATTGTCGACTTTTACTTCCTGTTCTTTTCCTCCTTTTCATAAATAAAACACGTCCATATTCGACCGTTGCCACTTTTCACACGCACCCTCCCTCATCTAACCTTCTCCACTTTCAGACCACGTGTACGCTCACGATTCATTTACAGCTGTAGCCCCAGCCTAAAAGCACTCTCCAAATAACAGCTTGGACCCGCTCGTTCCCCCTGTCACTTTCTCATACGCGTTTCCTTTCTTTCACACTTTGAACAGTCAATACAGACCGTTAGATTAACCTCGAGATGATCGTGATGCTATTTTCCTTTCTTCAACGGCTGAAATCACATCTCCTCGCGTTTCTCCTCCTATAAATACCCCCCAAGCCCTGCGTCTCCACCCCACAACTCAGATTTTGATAACCTAGCAGCATTACTCAAGCTTAAACGTTTGAACTCTCTGACGCATTTGCTTTCTCTTTCTCTGTCTCTCTTTGTACAATTTCGGTTCTTAGAATTTCTCCATCTCTCTCTAATTCTACAATGGCAAGGTACGGAATTGTGTTGATGCTAGTTGCCGCTTTGTTGATGAGCTCGACAATGGCTCAACAATCTCCGGCTTCTTCACCGGCGAAGTCGCCAATGGCTGCTCCACGGAAGGCGATGGCTCCGTCTCCCATGGCAGCGACACCATCAGCAAACTCACCGATGGCTTCTCCTCCCGCTCAGAGTGGATCTGCTACTGCTCCTACACCGGCTACTGTCAACTCTCCTCCTTCTCCTCCCACATCTCCCTCTGGGTCACCTGCTTCTACTCCGGCTTCTACCCCGTCCAACTCTCCCACTTCGATTGCTGCCAACCCATCAGGATCGGAAGCCGCACCTGCTCCGGCTACCAGCAGTGCCGTTTTGAACAGATTCAGCGTCACCGGATCCGCCGCCGTGGTGATTCTCGCAGCCGCTTTGCTGGTGTAGAGGGATTATGGAATCTTTGCTGAATCGAGAGTCTTAAATTCTTTTTTTTTTTTTACGCCTGCATTATATAGAGAGTTCTGGCGAGACGATTTATTCATTTAATTATTTTACTTTGTATTCTACTTATTATTAGCATGAATAATATTTTCTGTTGGATTTTTTGTCATTTAGTATACAATTTTCTTTTGTTGCTTTATACTCCTTTAGTTCTTAATATATGACTCAATTATTAAATAGGTTTTGGTTCTAAATATAAAACTTACTTATTATATTTATTAATTTTTTTAAATTATCTTTATAATACTCTCTCAACTATAATCAAGTAGAAAATAGTGATGGGGTATTAAGAAAAATGATTAGGATGTTAATTATGGTGTTTAAAGAAAAATATGTCACATTTCTTATAATTAATTAACTTACCTAACTTCTTTAATCTAATCAAATTAGATAAATGGATCTTATATTAAAAACTGAAAGAGTATATAATTTATATTACAGCATTTGACATTTTCGTGGTGATTGTTCACGCGTAATATGTGATGAAATCATATTGTTGAGCGCAATTCGCATACAGATTGAACTTTACCAAAACACAAAAGAAATTTCAATGATGTGTTAAAAGTATGCTATAGAAAAGAAATCAATAATGTTCATCCATAGAGAAAGGAAAAGCATGAAAGAAAAAAGCCTCCATAGATTTAGCAAGATAAAATATAAAAGAAAATATAATCTAAATATTTTTGTTTTGCCGGACTAATTTAAATATAAGATTATAATTTATTTTATTTTTATATTGATATATTTTATAAGTTAGTTTTCTATAATAGTTAGATAAAATTTTTATCAAATTGATAAATAAAATTATTTTGAAAGACAACACATATTTATTATAAATAATTAGTTTAAGTAATTTTTTTGATTTATTATTTCTTGTACATATACTCTAGTTTAAATTAGTTTTTATATAAATAAATAAATAAATAAAATTAGTCTTTTTTTTAAATCAAAACTCAAATTGTAATATCATATATATAAATTACCAACAGATATTTTGATCTTATAGGGGAATTCATTATTCATCTTTTTCATTACTCATCTTAAAACTTGGACTAAATAACATTAATATTCTCCTAATGGGCGAATATTTAAGTTAGTCTAAGGAATTGAATGGATATTAATTTTAAGATTATTCTTAAAATTCAACGTTGTTGGCTATGAATATTATTTTTAATTCTTAACCAAGAAGCAAACTTCTTCCGATTCTTGTGGAGTGGAAAGAGCAAAAGGACAGCGAGGGTCATGGAGCCACGGTGGGACAAATACTAGCTTTAGTTTTGTAATGAGAAGGACAGGACAAAATTTACTTTAGACTGCTTTGTTTGGCACTTTAAAACTAATGCTTTTTTCTTTTCTTTTTTTTATTTTTCCAGGAAAAATTAAATGAATTAACTTTTGAAACGTAAGGAGGGGGTGTGAATTTGGTTTCACTTTTGCGTTCTGCCTTTGCTTGTACCATGAAAAGCGTAATATTAATATTATATTTATAGGGAATTCATACTTTTTTTGGTCGCTTCCAAACAAGACCTAGCCCACCATCACATGGTCTAAAGTGGAAGAGCCACGACACTTACAATAATTATCTCTTTTGACCTCACTTCTCCGCTTCACATTGTCAATTTGACGACCCCTCAAGAGGGGCCTTCTAACTTCTTTTTTTTTTTTAAATATTATTTTTGAAAAATTGAATTATAATTTCGCTTTTCTTAACTACAAGAGATATTCATGTATACTAATTGGGCTCACAATATACTGCTTCATATTCCAATTATAAAATTTAGTTTATAATGTAAATTAATAATAAAATCTAGATTGTCTTGTAATTTATATTGCAACTTATATTTTATAATTAGCATTTTATTCTTTTTATGGCTAAATCAAATCTCCTGGTCCTTACGGAAAAAAAAAAAAAAGAAATTTCACGTTCTTCCTTTCAGGAAGGGAGGATTAGGAAAATCCTATTGATTACAATTTTCTCCAAACCCTTAGAAAAGCAGAGGTAGTAACTCTAATTGACCAAAGTGTAATTTGGGGAAAAATACTCACTTAGGATTTACATTATTATAACTTAAATAGTTGGCATACTACATACACCGAAAGAACAATAAAGAATAAGAGGGAAAAGAGATAATAAAAAAAAGTTTAAGACGGGGATAAGAAGAAATTGAGTAAAACGTCCCTTATTTATAGTGTCAGGATCACCACTATCTAGTAAGGTGAAATTTCTCTTATAAAGTTAAAAAAAAAAATTATAACTTTCTTTCTCTTACTCTTTTTGGCCAAATATTTATATTGCTTTTAGAAGATATATTTGAAACCTTTTCTAAGTATAGCAGATGACATTACAACTAGGGCAATTTGCCGCTGACAACAACTTCGTATGAGTATAGATATAAATAATGTTTTAATTCTTTGAAAATAATGCAATTACTTTCACATACGAGACAATGTGGAGCATTGGACCCAAATCCTATGCATTTGCAAAATGAACGTAGATGATGTATTTGAAGAGAGATACATTGATACATCGAGGGGGAAAAGGTAAAGTAATAAATCCCACATTTAATTATAAGATGTGGGATTTCATGCATCCGCTTTTTGTTACATCATAATCTCATCAGATATTCATTTGCATTTTATAGAGGAAGAGCCATACGGTTGCAGGTAAAAGTATTGGACCCTGTGAAGCTTTAAACATTTAAATATTGGGTTAATATGCAAAATTTGTTTATAAAGTTAAAATATTCACACCAACCATTAATATTTTTAACGATAGTGACAACATTGTTGTGATTTTAAGTTTTCAGAATAAATTTGTATAGCGAAAAACTTTCGAGTACAACGTTCCTGAATGAAAAATTTTCATGACAAATTTATATTTTAATCATTTAAATATTTAATCTTTTAAAATTATAAGTGACATCAAATTCAAAAGTTCTTATTTAGTGGGGAGTTTTTATATTATTAGAATATAGAGTTAATTTAATTTTTTGTCTTTAAAATTTGCCTTCGTTTTATTTTTGTTCTCTCAAGTTTATTTTCATTTATAATATTAATCCCTATAATCTAATAAAAATTCTGACCATTTTGCCCCTTATAAAACCAAAACTAATGATTTAAAACTTGAAAAACTAAAACCAAAATAATGACAAATTTAAAATATCAAAAATTATATTAACTCTGGAATAGAACACGATAACATTTGACTTTCTTATGCATAATACTATCTTCGATATTAATTATAAGACCTCGTTTATAGTCTGTAAATGAGTTCTTATAATTAGAACTAGAGGTAGTATTTCTTTAATACTATGTCCAATACTTAATTTAAGAACTAGTTTGATTTTTATTTTGATCATAAATATAATATTCTAATATAATTTATTTCTTATGTTTATTTATTTTTTAAATATAATTTCTGTAATAATAATAACTTTAACTAATATATTTAATTAGTAAGAATAATTTTAGAAAAACAACACCTATTTTTACAGGCTGAAACTGCAAAGAAGTCGCTGCCCCGTAATTAACGTTCTCATCCCGCTCAAGGAAGACTACTCGTTTCCTTGTAATTCTTCCAAACACCGCGAAGACAATCCCACCTTCGTGGATCCCACACCTTCTTTTGTGGAATAAAGATAGGACCAACGAAATTAGTATATCATCAATTGATCTCTTCGAAATATTTTATTCCTATTGCAGTCCCTAAAACTTTATTTGAGATTAAGTCTTTTTGTTTAAAAAAATCTCTCCATTATTGGCCTCCGATCCGCACTAACAATTACTGTTTTTAAAGATTGATGATTGCTTTGTTGTTTTTTCATTAATCAAATTTATTTTTTACCGGCATTAATTAAAATTATTATTTCTTGAAGTGAAGTAGTTATTCATCTGTACAGGTCACCAATAATACTCAAACCTTAACCCTAATTTTACAAAATACTAATTGTTGTTGTTTAAAATTTTCTTATTATTGCATATAATTAAAATTTTTATTTTTTAAAATGAAATAATGATTAATATTTAAATCATCATTAACAGTTACAATTTAAATCTAACTTCTCAAAATATCAGTAGCTAGCAACTAAGCGAAAGGAGTTCTTTTTTTCTCTTTGTTTTTTAAACAAAAGTAATATTATTTGACATTCAATTTGATCATAAATATAAAGTCTTAATTTATTTTGTCTATCATATTGATTTATTTTTTAGATAGCTTTTATAATAGTTACATATTAAATATTTTATCAAATGATAGTTTTAGTTAATACACGTAATTGACAGGTGTATTTTAGAAAATATAATATCTATTTATCATAAATAATTAATTTTACTGATTTTTTAATTTATTTAAATTAGTTAACTAATTATTATATTAAAAATATAAGGTGGTGTGATGATTTGGCAACAAAAGTAAATGCTAAAAAATTCTATTTAAGTGGCATTTTGGTTTTGGTGTTTTGCCCCCAACCTTCTTCCACTTTTCCCAATTTCTTGACCGTTGCCCCGTACGCCGCCTCCCTTATTTCATCCGACGGTTCTCCCTCGTCCTTGCCCCCGTGGACGTTCACGATTCACCCAACTGGCCTCTTTCTCTCATCATTGCCCCACGCGCTCGCTTTGAGAAACGCACCGTTTGATCTACCTGCCACTGCGTGCCCATCGCAAATCACGCGATCCAACGGTAATTCATATCCCCACACACGCGTTTCCGTTTGTTCTGCCTGATTAAGTGATTATAAATACTCCCCCTCTGTTCTTTCTCGCTTCATTCTCACTACCTCAGTGTCTGTGCTTCTAATTCTTTCTTCTTCTCTCGTTCTGTGATTCTCTGTTTTCTCTTCTTCTTTCTTCGTCTCTGAGAATGGCTCGCGCGAACACTGTGATTCTGATGATGCTCATGGCGGCTCTGTGCGTCTTCTCTGCAGTCGCGCAGTCTCCGGCCTCGTCTCCCAAGGCAGCGACGACTCCTTCACCGAAGAAATCTCCGTCGCGTGCCTCTCCTCCGTCTTCAACCACGACTCCACCGGCTTCTTCTCCATCTCCGACGAGTGGAAGCTCTCCTCCCTCGCCTACTGCATCATCTCCTTCTCCTTCTCCAGCGCCATCTCCTGCCGCCGATACTCCTACTTCGATCTCCATGCCTCCTTCTGAGGCTCCGGCGCCTACTGAGAACGGCGCTGCTACGAATCGCTTTGCAGTCGCCGGATCTGTTGCCTTTGGCATCGCCGCCGTCGCTCTGGTCATGTAAAGCGCCGCATTGTGTAGCTCCGAGACGTTACTCACCACTTTTTGGTTGATCAGTGTTTAGATTATTCAGTTTTCTTCATTTAATTTTGCTCGTAGTGTTTTTTTTTTTTTCATACGTGTTGATCCGAGCTTTTATACGGTGTGACTGATGATATTCTGCGCATCTTATTTTATAAAATATTTGTTCTAATTTTGATCTCCTAACCCCGTAATGATCAAATGCAATTAATTAAATCCCCCGAAAATGTAATTAATTAAGCGAGCATAACTAAAAGGGGAAAAAGATCCGTCGTCTCCTCTAAAAGAGAATTTATATTTAAAAATTGTTAAAATTTTATAAATTTAATTTTATTATAGTAAATTTGAAGCTGAGGGATGATATTTTTTCATCGACACGGCGACTGAAGAGTTGGGAGGAAAAATCTTGAACAGATTCTAATCCATTTTACCCATCTTCTCGTTTCTTAAGACATTCAATTTTGCAAAATTTAATTAATTTAAATTTATTTGGTTAATACCAAATAGCTTAAATTATCAGGCGATTCATTCTTCTCCTTTGGGATATTTGTAGATTAGGAAATTTTAATTTGTTATCTTTTCATTTTTGGGTGTGTTATCTCGGGATGAAGAAATAGGCAAGGCAGTTAATGAGTTTGATACTGTAGAACTAGAATATTCACCCCCTAATTCAAAGATTTGAAAGTAAAATTTGCTGAAAATTCTTACTGAAAATTACCCATATCTCAAGCAGTAAATTTTGTAATAGGGTAATTTAAAATATCGCATAATTTCACCCCAAAAAAAAATATCGCACAATTAGAAAATGATGATCGAACCGTGAATATAAGATTTTTTTTCCAGCCAAAACAGTGAATATAAGATTGGAAAAAAAAAATGAATATAACATAATGGTGTTGATTCTTTTTTTTTTTTTGGGTGACAGTGGTATTGATTTAGTTCTTATCATATATGTTGAGGTGGAAAAAAAAAAAAGTTCTTATCCTAAATATGTATATATATTTGATGATATATAATGATTCTCAACGTGTCATCTGTATATGCTAAATATTGATTTACAAGATACATCCAAATATCTTTAATTGTAATATTTATATACTAAATATGACATTCATGAACTTCAAAAAAAATCTGGTCAACATTTATTTGCATATATGAATCCCATGTCTAAGATAAAACTAGACAATTTAATTTAAAAAGAGAAAAAATCCGTGATATCAAGTATTTTTTCCAATTAATTAAACCATACCTTCTATTATGTTCAATTGCTCTTTTAATTTCTTTTGCATGTTTTATGGTCAAAAAATTTTTTCAAAAAAGATTGAGAAAGATATTATCATTGAATCTAAAAAAAAAAAAAAACTATAAAATTTAAGGATCATACTTTCATCAATATCCATTGTAGATGATATTGATAAGTGATAACTTTTGAAAAATACTTTGATTAAGTTTTTTATATACATTTCTTTCTGTTTTACAAATAAGACAAGAAAGTAAATATGCGCTAAAAAGGAAAATAAAATGAGAATCCGATTTCGTAATCTAATTTTTGTGAGAATGCCTTAAATATTATTCAATGTAAAAGTTAAGAAATTGAATTTTGAGGGGAAAAAAACCATCTCTCTCGTCTGATAAAAAAATATAAAAATATGACTGATTAAATAATTTTATATTAGTGTTAATAATTATAAATTAATAATAATGTGATATGACCTGTTTTTGTGTGTGGAAAATGACATTTTATCCGAAATTCAAACGTATTCCATCCAGGCCAATAGATAAGTTGAATGGAATAAAACCCAAAAAAAAAACAAAGAAATTAAAAAAAAATTAAAATATATGTTTAATTCTCCAAATTTACATTACAATTTAATTTATTCTCTAAATTTATAGAATACATTTTCAAATTTTCAATGTTAGCTTGTTATTCCCATTAATAAAAAAAATGATGACTCTAATATCTGATTTAAAGTTCGTAAATTGAAAAATCTTTAAATTAAAATTTAATGATGTATGTCATCTCATCTAAACTTTCCATATCAATAACTTATCTTTCAAAATATAAAAAAAATATTATATTAAAGAAATAAATTTTAATTATTCTTTTAAAATTTAATTGCAGGGTCACCATTTAAATCTATAGAGTCAGCATTTTCGGTTAATAGGATTAACTACAATAATATTAATGGACTGAAAATACATTTTATAAATCTGAAGTGCTACAAACATTAACGTAAATTTAGAGAACCACATCCTAAAAAAATGATTGTGTAGTTTGAGCATATCTGTTTATTCTCCTGAATAAAAATAAAAATAATAAAACGCATTACTATACGCTATGTTTGGCTCGACGGAGGGAAGGGGAGGGGAAGGATTTTAATTAAAGGAAGGGGAGTGGAGGAAAGGGGAGGGTAGCTACAAAGGGGAGGGAGGGATTTTAATGATCTTCTGTTTGGATTGATTGGAGGGGAGGGGAGGGAGCAATTTTAATAATACCTTATTTTGTTCTAATAAAAAATTGACTATTTTAGCCTCATAAAATTTAAATGAATTTTCTCACTTTTTATTTTGTTAAGATATAACTATATATATATATATATAATACAATTCACTAATTTTGATTTACAAGATACAGTCACACACTTATAGAATATCAAGACAAAAACTCACAAGTGATAGATTTCAATTAAAGAAAAGACCTTGAAGGTGAAATAAAATACCAACGGCCTCTTAGAATGAAGAAGAGAAAAAAAAGTTTACAAATGCTCACTAATTTTGGAGATAATTATCTTAATAACCTCTTATTAGATGCTCAAAAGAACTCTCTTATGTAGAAATGTTTATGACTGATTAGAGGTTAACAAATCGAAAGGGCATATAAGGAATTAAAATATCATCTCTCGCCTCCCCTCCAAAAAACCCCACTTTTGGCGGGGAGGCTAGAAGGGAAGGGAAGGGGAGAAGAACCCCTCCCCTCTTTAAAAAACATCTTAACCAAACGAAGGGAGGGGAGGAGCTCCCCTCCCTTTCTAAAAAATTATACCAGCCAAACAAGGGAAAGGGAGCAACTTCCCTCCCCTCCCCTCCAAAAACCCCGTACCAAACATAGCGATAGTAATGTAGTATAATGAATATTACGTAGTTTGTTTTTCTTAATGCTAAGCAATCAGCTGAATTAGAATTACCTTGAAGAAATATCCTAATAATCCATATATTTCCAATTTAGAAGTTGGGAAAAGATTTCAAATTTAGAATTATTATTGTTATTCGTACTTTTGGACAAAGAGTTCCGCAAACTTAAAAATACACACACAAATACATAAATTACAAAATAATACGGAAAGTTCAGTATTAACAAAATAAATAGATGAAGCAAAAACTTTTTCCCAAAATATAATGATCCGTTGCCAATTACATTTTGCTGTCAATTAGTGAATTTGCGTATTAAAAGAAACTTTTATTACAACAAGATTATCTTCTATATCTTATGTACAATATATATACACTTTTTTTTAAAAAATGACATAAAAAGAAATTAAAAATTATAATATTCCAATTCAAACACATAAGAGGTCCAAATCCCAAAAAAGAAAGTGATGCATGATCTGGTATTTTGTAAATGTAGTTAAATGAAAAACTGTTCATGTATCACAAAGTTTATTAACAAGTTGTGAAGTAACAATGGGAAGTATTAAATAGCAAATGACAAGAAATATACTTATAATGACAAGTTATTTATTAATAAGTTGTAAGCTGGCAATAATAAATGTTGAATAACTAATGACAAAAAATATATTGACAATGACAAGCTTGATAACTTTTTTTTTTTAAAATTGATATTAGGGACATTTTAGTCATTTGACTATATTTGTAAAATACCAGATCATACATCACTTCCTTCCTTAGGATTTTGACCTCTTAGGTGCTTGAGTTGGAATAATACAATTTTCAATTTTTTTTGTCATTTTTTTTTCTTGTTTTTTCCCCCCAACGATAACATTTTTTTCTTTCACTCATGACTCAACAAATAATACCGAACAATAAATGAATAAAATAAATAGAATTGAATCACTTTGAGCTGGATTCTTTGTTTGAGATCTTGTCAATAAAGGGTTCCACAAAGGACTCTAGATCATCCAGGTCGTTCTTCACTCCATCAACCTGTGTTTCATTATATTCCACAAATTAATGATATCCAAAATATTCAACTCTTCATCATAAAATGGTTTTTGTGCCAAATAAACATAAGAATATAAAATAGTTAAAATGATAAATTCAGCATAAAATTTAGTGGCAAAGGTGTGTATTTAATCATTCACATAAAGTTTCATATTTTGGTATTTCAATTTTATAAAATATATTTTCAGTTCTTCAATTTTAATGTTATAATAAAAAAAATTGATATTAAAATTTTAAATGTTAGACAAAACATTTTTAAATTTTGACATATTAGTTTAGTTTTAAAGAAAAGTAATAATTGATGTAAAAAAATCATCATTTGGAATTAATAAGGTTGGCAAAAAAAAAAAAAACTAATAAAGATGTTAAGGCTAGAGGACTGAAAAAATACATTATAAAATTAAGAGATCAAATTAAAACCTTATATAACATTAAAGGATTACAGATAAATTTTTGCAAAGTTAAGAGATATGAAAATTAAATTATAGATAAAATCATTAATTATAATGTAATGTGAGTAAGTAATTCTTAAATTAATCTCATAATATTCTTCTTCATATCCCCTGTGAAAGATATATCTAATATCTGCGAACCAAATCAATCATCAATTTTTCAATTGATAATCAGTTTTTGTTTGATGGCAACTGTTAAATTGATTGAAAACAGACAAACTAGGATTCTAATTGTGTTGGAGAAAAATCAAATCCATATTATTTAATCATACAATTTCGTCCTATAAAGAACTCGATGTTTAAAAAATCCAGATGATCAAGTAATTATGAATATTTCAATATATATAATCAAGTACCTTGTGAAGGAAGTCTTGGGTGAGATGAGCCTCATGAGCAGCTTGTTTTGATATATTTTCAACCACCAAAGCTGCATTTTTGAGGTTACTCTCATCAGAAAGATTCTCAGAAACATCTTCTGCCACCTCCTCTGCCACTGTTGCCACCTTCTCCACCACATTTGCCACCTTCTCCACACCTTCCACCACCATCTCTGCCTCTCCTGTTTTATCCCAACATTATATTCTCCCCAACTTAATCTTCTATATTCTCCAATCAATCCAATAATAATGATAAACAAATATATATATATATAGGGGATCTTAAATCTCTCTTGTAACAGCATGATGTTGCAAGAAGAGAGATAGGCACATAAGATGAGTAGACCCTATATGTTGCATATCCCATATATTTATCTCTCTCTTTGTAGCACTGCCATGTTGCAAAGTGCCCAACTTAACCATTTATATTCTTCAAATCAATCCATATTGTAAAGTGGTAGAATCCATATTTATATGCATAGTTATAAACACAATAAGTCTCATTCATCAAATTTTGTATAATGCATAAAGAAATGTGTCCAGTTACTTAAAAAGAATGACTGCTATTTTGTGGCATAAGATAATCCAAAAGCCAGGCATTGAGGGGGATGAATGTAAGAAAATGTAAAAGCAAAGTATACCTTCTATTCTTCTCAGTTTTTGCCAATTATTACTGAAAGCTAGCAAGAAGGAAAGCACAGAACCAAAAATCCATCTCAGCCTGCAAGTTTATGAATTAAATACAACCAAATGATTATATTCCTGCATCCATAATCATAACATAACATTCACAGATTCAAGTATTGAACTAGTCTTTTCTTTCAGAAATTCAATACCAGCCGGAGAACCTGAAGCTTGCAGAAGAAGTAACGGGTGGTTGAACATTGACACTCTTTGCCCTTCAAATTCAGAACAGAGACTCAACACTCAGATTCAGATTTATCTGGAGGTGACAAAACAAAATCAAAAACTTTGGTGAATATCCTTTTTTACCCATTTGAATCAGAACTTGTGCTTCTGTTGGTGCTGAAAAAGTTAACACCAGGATGCATCCAATACCCACTTCCAAATTTTGATCCTGATATTAGTAAACTGCTTCTTTGAAATCTTTCATAGTTGGATTCAAATCTGCTGTTTCTTGTGGTGCTTAGAATCTGAAGAACACGTCTGAAATTCTGATTCAGCCAGGAACCTCTGGATGATATGGTCAGCATCACTTTGATTTCTTCTTCACGGTCTTCGAGGTAAGAGGAGAAAAAGACGAACCGGGGGATGTCTGTGACAAAGTCAGAATCGAATCATCAGCTTATAAAGATTGCAAGTGTGTGTTTATCTGACGAGAAAATGAAGGAAAAAGGAGGGAAATTAGGGAGGAAAAACAGGTGGGATTTTTTTTCTTTTTCCTGATATGAATTTGGTTACTCCAAGCAAAGCAAACGTTAAGCGACCCGTCATTTGTGTTTCCTTGTAAGTTACAACCTTCTGGGTTTGAAGGCAAGCCAATCTCAAACTTCCCGACTCTCATTTCCTTGTTGATTTGTTCGTTCATTTGATTGGTCAAACAGATTAGTTTATTCTCAAGTCATTCAAGAGACACATGAAATGGATGAGTTTTACCTTTTCTTTTGGTGGAAAGAGTAACATCTATGTACTAAGTGGGTGTTTGGATTGCTCAATAATCACTTTTAAAAAGCATTTTTTTTATAAATTGAAACAAATTCTTTCATATATTTACTTTGTATACTGTAAAAATACTTTTAAAATCATTGTTTTGTTTCCTAAGTTTTTTGTTTGTGCAATTGATTTCGTCATTTGGGCTTGGGCCTGAACTCAAAAATGGGCCCCTCATTTTCTTTAGGCCTGATGTTTTTGGGTTTGGTCCAAGTTACTTCAAGGCCCAGAAAACTTGGGTTTAGGCCTAGCGAAGTCCAACGATGAGGAGCCTCTCCATACACAGGGTCTTGTATTTAAAGTCAGCTATAATTTTGCGGATAATGTAATCAGAGAAAGAATGATGTAGGACTGGTAATTAAATAAATACTACCTCTGATCATTGATATAAGATCTCATTTGATTTTTATTTTAGTCGTAATTATAAGACACAAGTCCATTTTGTCTCTCATATTTATCTTTTTTTTTTCAAAGTTAGTTCTTCTAATAATGATAGTTTTAGCTAATACATTTGATTAGCAAAGATATTTTAGAAAAGACAACACATCTTTACTACAAATAACTAACTTTATTTATTTTTTTTATCTCCTCAAATTAGTCAACTAGCTCTTACAATTAGAACCGGAGGTAGTATATATTCCTCTTTCTTACATTCATAGCCTTCTTTTTTGATACTACCTCCGGTTCTAATTGTAAGAGCTAGTTGACTAATTTGAAGATATTAAAGAAATATGTTAAGTTAGTTATTTGTAATAAATAGGTATTGTCTTTCCTGAAATGTCTTTGTTAATCAAGTTTATTGGCTAGAATTACTATTATTAGAGGGACTACCTTAGAAAAAAATACACAAATATAGAAGACAAAGTGAATTGGGGTCTTATAATTAGGACCAAAATAAAAGTCAAATGAGATTTTATATTAAGGATCGGAGATAGTAATTTTTTAAGTAGATTATATGCAATTAATTTGTGACAAGGAAAAACTTGAAGTTATATATTTAATATATTTTTTCAATCAAATTAAGATGTGCATTTTTTTTTTGTCTCTCTTTGCGGCACTCTTTACTTTACCCTTAAAATTTTCACATGATTATTTTATTTAAAACCCTGTTGTATGTGTTTTAATACACATTATTATTTGAAGCTTTACATTTTTAGGATAAAGTTGAATTTTTTAATACAATAGTCGCTTTCATGAATTAATAATTGATTATTCTAGGCAAAAAATCGTTGATTTTTCCAAGATTACCTCTTTTTCAGTTTTACTATTTGAAGACAATTTTTTTTTAAAAAAATTAACCATAAAAAATGGTTTTCTCTTTATTTTTTAAACATAAAGTCTCCTTTATAGAGTATTATATACTCATTACGGTGTTTAGTAAAAGGGATATTACTTAATTGGATAAATTAATGCAATTAAAGAAACTCTTTCATTACATAATTTTTCTTGAAATATTCTTGGGTAGAGTAATATTAAATTACGTTTCAGTTTATTATTTAAGTTAATTATTTTAGAAAATAATAATAAATATGAAAAATAAAATAGATTAGAATCTTATATTTACTATTTAGGGTTCCTATATTAGACATAGAAGAGAGTGTATAATCAAAACTAAAAATATTATTAATTGAGCAATCGTTAAAAGGAAATTGTAAATACTGATTTATAGACAGATTTCATAAAAATCTTCTTTTTTTTTTTTTTATTGCTCTTCACCTATCAGAAGAAACTCAAACATTCATGATAATTAAAGAGGGGTCAATTTCACAATCTTACACCTAAAAAAAAAAAAACCTTTAAAATATGGTTAGAAAGTCCCAACGAATTTCATAAAAGTATAAGGACACTTCATAACTCCTCTGTAGTTGTAAACAGCTCATGACAATCACTTAAGCTATATGCAATAATAATTTGTAAACACCGACAAAGATTCATCATTATCAATCTACATCATAGGTACATGTATTATTATTAAATTAAAACGAAAGTTTGAGAAAGTCAAATGCATATGTTCCGCGGGACACATTACCGAACCTTATCGTTTTACACAATACATCTCACCAATTCACCAACGACAAACACTTTGTGGCTCTAATTTATTTATAGTTTTCTGTCACTTGTTTTTGGAGCACTCAAAGGTGCAACTTTGCTTCTTCTTCCAAGTGTTTGTGAAAAAGTCTTGTTACCATCACTATCATCCAATGTTTATATATGTGCGTGTACATATATATATATATATATAAATTCAAGTGGCGTACATCTTTTGACATTTTCTCAATTTTTGTCTCACTAAGAAAATGCCTTTACTTTTCTTTCCACACAATTAATTTTTTAATTGATTTATGAACTTTGGGATTAGCTTCCCTTCTCAACCACTACGTTGAATTCTTCAGTAATCAATAGAGGATTAAAAAGAAAGATTAACACTTGTCAAGTAATTAATTCTTACCTACAAAGGCTTTTTGAGTGAATTACACTGTCTCATATTTTTTAATACACTAATTCATATTTTAAATATAGAAATTAGTTGGGAGGTCTATTTTGATTTTAAATTAAAAATTTAATTTATTTCATCTTGCAAATTTTGTGCTCCCTCTGGTCTTAAATATAATAGTTAGTTTGTAGTGTAGATGCAAACTAATTTTTATATCAGAATAAGATGTAGTAATATATTTTTATCAGACAATTCTTTTAGTTAGTCATATATTTTCAAATTAAAAAATATATTTTAAAAAAATAAATACACAAATAATTAATTAAATTAATTTTTAAATATTTTCAAATTAATTGTTTAGTTCATGTATTAAGGATAAGAGGAAGTTTCCATGATGGTAAATAAACTTCGACCTTTTCTAAAGTCTTTAAAAATTTACTTTGTTTTGAAACATATGATTAATTTGATTTCTTTAAATTATTAAAGTATGTTCATTATAAATTTATAATGAACCTCAGAGGCACACAAGTTGAGATATACACAAGATTAGGGTCACTAAGGTATGAGGGAAACGAAGGGAAATGGAAAAGAAATTTTAATGAGTTCAATTTAAAAAAAAAGGGTTATACAATTTAATAAGGAGAAGGTGTAAGTTAAAAGAGTAAGGAATAATTAATTAAAAACTTTTAATCCTATTATTTTAAATTTTCAAGTCATACTCATTAAATATTTTTCTTATTGGAGATTCGAATATTAGTTATGTGGGATTAGCTTCTTCTATTAGACTCCACTTGTTGGTTACTCTGTGGGGTTTTTGGACTAGCTTTTTAAAAATGATTTTATGAAGTTTAAGACAAATACGTGAGAATAATTTTATGTCAATTTGCTTGAAAATATTTGCTTTAATTACTTCTTTGGGATGCCAAACTCTCTCATAGTAATACCGAAGAGGCTCAAGATATTACAAGGCAAGGGGCCAAAAAAAAAAAGAGTCACTTGCAGGTGGCCATACAGCATTTGGATTTGGGCCGAGTAGAAGGAGATTAGGACAGGTGGGCCCAAATCCACCGGCGTCAGCCGCCATTGAAGATGAAACCTCAAGCTAACATTAAAGTCAAAAAATCAACGCGCAAATGCTATTATTGCCCAGGCACTCTCAAACACCCCGTTTTCAAAGTTCTTACCTTTCAACAAAACCAAAAGCTCCGTCTTCCTCAATCCACTGATGTGCCCTCTTTGATGCTTTCTCTCTACCATGGGGCTCCGTCACCGGAAGATTCTCGAAGAAATCTGCATTGTTTACTGCAACATGAAAGATTCCCCTCCTTGTTTAACCTCCGATTGCAAGTATTGCCGAGTCCAGTGCTCCATCGAGCCTCCGATTTACGACCCCCCACCTACTCCCGTGGCCTTCGATTTCGATGATCCCCACAAAATCCACCACAAGATCTCCACCTGGTTGACCGTCGTTATCGCTGTTCTCGCCGCCGCTTTCTTGGCCCTCCTCTGCTTCGCCGTCTACCGGAGATTCCTCTCCGGCTGGTTCAGGAGAGGAATTCAGAGACGGAGGAGGATCAGCGGGGGGATTTCTCGATGAGGAACAGGGCCCTGTGGTTGACCATCCCATATGGTATATTCGAACCCCTGGTCTTCAGCAATCGATCATTTCTGCGATTACCGTGTGTAAATATAAGAAAGGGGAAGGGTTGATTGAAGGAAGAGTGCTCTGTTTGTTTGAGTGAGTTTGAAGAAGACGAGAATCTCAGGCTTTTGCCCAAGTGTAATCACGCTTTTCATCTCCCCTGTATTGATACCTGGCTTCGATCTCACACCAACTGTCCCATGTGCCGAGCTCCGATTGTTACAAACCCCGCCACGGTTTTTCGCCCGCGGGAGCCAAATGTTGTTTCTTCGACTGATTCAGAAGAACCCCAGATGGAAACAGTTGAAAATGGAGTGAAAATAGTGGGTTGTGGGAGAACAGTGATGGTGAATTGAGAACTAGAGATGAGGAAGAAGGAGGAGGGGGAAGGAGAGAAACTGCAGATGAAGAGGAAGTGGGGAATTTGCAGCCAAGAAGAAGATCTGTGTCTCTGGATTCTTCAGCTGTAGAGAAGATCAATCGTGTTCTTGCTATTACTAATACTGCTGTATCTTCAGTAGGATCATCTTCATCTTCCTCAAAGAGGGTTTCCAAAAGTGGTTCTTCTTCCTTCAGGATGAAGTCTCTTCAGATTGTTGCAGGCACTTCAATGAAGAGATCTCGTTCCTACAATGGGAAACTTGTACATTCTTGGTACAGTCGAAGTCAGAGGAAGCCAAGCGTTCCTATTAGAAGCTTTTGATGATTTTGGCCTTCCATGTCAGGTATAGTTCCTCGCATCACATGCTTGGAATGAGAGAGAAATGAAACAAAAGCGGACAGAATTACAGAAATGTTTTATTTTTCGTTGTTGATGTTCCTCAATCCAGACATGTACCGAGAAACTGAAATGTCTGTGTTAAAACTCTCAACAAGATGAGAGATTTAAAGTTGTAAGCTTATTCCTTGTCGCATCAAGTTAAGCCGGTATGATGGCTGAAGTGTATAATGGCAGAAACCAAAAGTTACTCATACAAGTGAGGTTTATAATACCGTTGCCAAATTTTGTTTCATGGAGCTGTGTTTAAATTTATGATATAATTCCATGATTGTCTTTGTTTTCTAGAGCCAAAATTCACACTCTAATTAGCCATTTTTCCAAACTCCAAGTGATGATTCTACTGTATATCCTGAAAGTGTTTTCTTGAATCTTCTGGCGGCACGAAAGTTTGATCTCCAGGCATGAAACATTATGTTCTGGCGGAGGATTATTAGTGATTGTCATGTTTTTAATGGAATCTTGTGGTAGTGGCAAAACTCTTTGGAAGTAAGAACAATCAGATTGGATGAAACAAGAGAGTATAAGTCAAATGCTTAGGTAAAAAGTTAGGCATCTCAACCGGCAAATTCAATAAATATCATTGACAGTTTAGTTTGTGCTCAAATTCAGAAACCTAAGGACACACCCTAAGGTCACATACTCAGCGTACCATAGATTTTCACAAGCGTGATTGTCGGGCAAAACAAAAGAAAAGGAAAGATACATCAGTAAAATAATCATTACAACACGTCTTATTTCAACACTAACTAAATTTTTGGATATTTTAGTCAAGAGGGCTCTTTATTTTTTTTTTTCCCCATCTCCTTTTTTAAGAAAAGTAATCATTAGCAGTTTCATCTATTTTTCTCTCTTAGATATGAAACACTATTTTTCATTAATTGATCATACTTCATCTAGGGAGTGTTTGACAACACTAAATGGGTGTTTGGATAATCCCATAATCACTTTTCAGAAGTATTTTCGTAAATCGAGACAAACTCTTTAATATATTTACTTCATATACCGTAAAAGCGTTTTTAAAATCATGATTTTGTTCTTACCTAAACACTTCTTAATAAATACTTTTAAAAAGCATTTTTTCGCAAAACGAGACAATCTGCTCCACATATTTATTTCGAATATTGTAAAAGCATTTTAAAACTATGGTTTGGTTTTACCCAAACACTTCCTAATAAGATAGGCTATTATGTGGTGCGGTGTTGTTGGGTATGGATTTTCATAATTCTTATCAGCAGTTTCCTCACCCTTTTCATTGTCGAGTATCTCAGTAGGATTTTATCTTCAACGTCTCAAGTCTTATCATGCTTCTGATCTCCGTTTTGTCCTTGTTTTTAGCTCTATCTTTTTATCAGTTAATGATTCTCTTCATTCTTGTTTCCCCTGTTCTTCAAGCACAAGCTCTGTAAGTCTTTTCTTTTACTTTGTTCTGCTCAACTTTGCTTTCTTACGGAAAAGGGGATTGAAGAGGGACACGATGGATGGATCTTTTGATATTGCTAACAAATCTAGTATAGCTTGTGAATTCTCTGTCTAATACAGTCTCAGAAAATTTTTTGCTGTTATATCATATCAATCTTTGTAATACTTAAATATAACTTTTAATACCTCATTCCATCCTTAATATAAAAACTATTTAATTAATTTTAGCAATTAAAAAAAATTACTTTACTTAGTTATTGTGGTATACGTTTTGTTTAAAATATTCTTATTTAACATTTAAGTTAGATAAAGTAATTTAAAAATAAATAGGGGAGATCAAGTAAGATTTTGTATTCAAGATTAAATTTAACCTCTTGCTAGACTGAAAGGAGTGTTATGATAACTATCCGACAAGATATTAAAAAAGGTTCTCGGAGCAGTCCAAAAATATCATCAGCAAAAACAACTAACTTTTCAAAACCAAATCTGGTTCCTTAACTTTCACGACAACCATTTCAATACTAATTTTTCAGTCATGTCAGCTCAAGCATTATCTTGATAGGCCAACACAAAGTTGGTGGTGCAGCACACCCTGTTGGATCTTCTGGTTTTCAGATTTGAGCTTTAGAAGAGACACATGTGATAGAACGGGCAACCACAAATCCTGAATTAAATTATCTGTTGTTTGGGTACCTGATAATAGAATTCACAAAAGCACCATAGATATTGGATAATATAGTACCAAAAACCATTTTCTTAGACATACTCATTATTGACTCATTTACTTCACCAACAAATGAAAATATACCAAGCTAATCAAGTGAAGCGTGATAACACTAGTTAATATAATAATATTGTTAAAAGATAAAAAGCGGGGTGATATTTTTTATTAATAAGTTGTTGTTGTATTAGAATTTTTATGCCAGCTATTTTAATCAGCGTAGAAAGTCAATTTTTTAGAAGATACTACTTCTTATCCTTAATATAAGGTCTGTTTGACTTTTATTTTGATTCTAAATATAAGACCCTAACCTATTTTGTCTATCATATTTATGTATTTTTTCTAAAATAATCTTTCTAACAATAATTTTTCTAGCTAATACACTTGATTAGTAAGGATATTTTAGGAAAAA